GCGCTTCGAAGCGCGCGTCTCCTTGCTCGAGTCTTGGCTTCCTCTTCGCTCGGCTTCCTGCTGCAGCTCGGCGAGGGCGGAGGAGGAGATCGCCGCGTCGCCGTTCATCTTAGAGGGCTGCCGAGAAACGTGAGGGAACCGATGATTAGGGTCCCTATATACAGAGAGTTGCGCCAACTCAGGATTTGACTCCATGTTGTTTCCAAATGTATCCACACCGCTGCCGCTTAAGTACAGCGTTGTATGGATACGCTGTACAATGGTCTGTAGTAATTAATTAGACTAATCGTGCTTCAAAAAACTCAAAATTTACAGAGATTATAGCTAAGACACGTGTCTATGTGTATCTAGATTTCTAGAAATGTAACTCAAATAGTTCGCGCCATATGATAGTTTAATTGTACACTTTCTTACCGCCCATAGCCGTGCGTATCTATTTGGAAACAACATGTCGTCTAGCGACAACGTGACCGATAGTTTTTCGACTCGTCATGGCGCAACTCTCTGTATACAGGGACCCTACCAATGATGATGACGACGCCCTGCGATGCGACCCCACGACCTGACCCTGCGACCCGACCCCCTGACCTGACGCCACGACCCAACCAGGGGAAAAAATAACTTTTTTTTTCACGGGAGCTCCTTTTCAAGTCTGTGGGAAAAATAGCTCTCGTCAAAAATTTTACGGGAGCTATTTTGAGCCTCGCGGGAGCGATTTCGGAGGTTTGAAGAGCGAATCGCTCATCGCTCCAGTGTATTTTTTACCCTGGACCCAACCCCCTGACCCTGCGACCCGCCTCCACGTCCCCCCCTCCCCCGCGAGGCGCATGCAGACACAATCTGACTTTTTTTGCCGAGGAAATCGGCTAGGAGGTTCCCGCCGAGTTACCATGGATACACATGCCAGATATCCACGGATACATTGGCTTAGTAACCACGGATTCATTGGCCTAGTAACCACGGAGACATTAGCCTAGTAACCACGGATACATTGGCCTAGTAACCATGGGTACATTAGCCTAGTAACGACGGATACATTAGCCTAGTATCCACGGATACACTATGAGTAATCAATTTATTTTGCCAGCTTTCGAGAACATATCTCTCTTCCTCGGGCTTCACAACTAAAAACAGAATGTTCTCAGAAAACAATTTCTGTTGTTGTGAAGCCTGAGGAACAGACATGTTCTCAAAAGCTCACAAAATAAAAAAATTGATACCTCATTGTATTTTTATATTTTCATCCATATCTACGTGTGTGTTCGCGTGTTTTTACTTCTAATTTTTATGTGTGTGTATATATATATAAAATACATCTTTCCTCCGTTGTTTCTATTACAGGCATGGAAATGGAGGGAAGATACTAGATTTTTCGAGAACGTAGAAGGCCCACTTTTTAAGGACCACGAGATTTTAGCAGTTTTGTGCACAGTCAATTAACACTGGCCGGCTCAACGATTAATGAACTAACTCTTACCTCGAACAAGTTTAACTACACCTCAGACAGTCAACAAGGCGATGATTAGGCTGTAATAGTGAATTACTATAGCTTCACTATAATTATCAGCAAAATGTAGATCTACACTAGCCATGTGGTTAATATCCTGGAGTTTTCAGGGACAAACATAATACAATGAAACCCCGATTTTACGGGCACCCGATTTAACGCGAATTCGGATATAACGCGACGAATCATTGAACGTTTTTTTGCTCTTTCTGCAACTGAAAAGTTTTCGTGGCCACACAAAGCCTTTGGAGGTATGTGGTGCCCTCTATCTATGCTCTGTAACGATAGCAATCGCCAGGGGATGTGAAAATACTCGTCAACTGTACGTTTTCAATCTTCACGGTTGAGTAACAATTAACCGTGATAGATCTAATAGTCTACCAACAAATAAAATTATTTTTATGTGAAAAAACTCGGTGAATGGGATTTTTGCAGCTATTGGTGGGAAAATGGAAACGTGCGTGACAAACCAGAGGTGAGCTAATATTATAGTATGTATATATATATATATATATATATATATATATATATATATATATATATGTACATATATTAGAATCTATAGGGCCACAGATGCGAGTTAGCGAAATGTGCACAGTGGAGCCCCCTCTACCAGTCAGGAGTGTTGGAAGATGCAATATGCACTACTACCTGTCACACCATGCCAGGAATACAAGAAGAGAAGGAGGAGAAGGAAACTGACAAGGAACCGAACTACGCGTGATGAATCATCCGTCTCTCTGTTTCGAAAAATCGCTCGAGCGCGGAGGAGGGAGACGCCTGACCGGCAACCCCCGCGAAACAAGAGTGGGCGGAGGGCGTCGCAGGTTGCCATGGCGACGACGTCGGATGATGGAAGCCTGGCCTTGTGCTTCTTGCTGCCTGCTCGTCTGCCACGCGCAGTAGAGATGAGAGCACACACCATGCGTCCGCATGCACGACTCACCCCGTCCTAAACACAGCACATAGTCACAGCAGCAGCAGCAGCAGCAGCAGCAGTTGCACCACCA